CCCCAAAACCCCAAAACCCCAAAACCCCAATATTAATAAAAATAATTGAAATATGCAGGAAAAGAGTCAGAGTGACTTGGCACAATCTGGACGAAGCAAAAGATCCCGAAGTGGAATTTCACGAAATCAAATCACAAATTTACTAGAAAGTATGTACTTTTATAATAATTTGGATGATTCTGACCTTTATGAGGGATTTCACTAACTATTTCTTTTTAGATTTTGATACTGTAAGTAATCAGCATTCTTGAATAATCACAAAAAGACTCAAAATAGACCTCCTTATAGGCTGCTCGAAGAGCGATGGGAACTATAGAAGACCAAATAGAAAAGGACCTGAGAATTTTCAAGGTATGGTAACTAAGTTATCCCATAGATAAATGGAATGGAGCAAATATTCGCTGCAGAGGATTACATCTTTACACTTGTGAAACCTCTTGATCATAGATACAGAGAAATAACTAGTAAATGTAAATGATGATTAGACACAATTGATACTTCCAAGTTAAATTTTTGGTAAGAAATTCCCTCATCAAGTAGAGAATTCTGTGGAAAATAACATCTGTTCTAAGAAAGTAAGCTACTTTATGACCTTATAGGAGTGTCTTCCCAAGAAAAGACAATTCCCTAAGAATCTTGAACTCAGAGGAGAATGCTGAATAGTCTGTGACAGGAAATTTTATATCCATGAATTATTCGCAGAGTTTAGGGAAAAATTGGATAATATCACAAAAGAGGAGAAGGCTATCAAAGAAGTTATCATCTCTAAGGAGAAAAATATAAAAGACATTGACAGGGAAATTGCCAAAATCAGTGACTTCGCAGGTACTCATTAAATCTAACCCTATCAGCTGAGAGGAAATTCAAGGAGAAAATGGAAGTAAGCGATTCTAGTGATAAAACATAGCTCAATTCGCTAAAAATCGACCGGGTAAAAGAAGCTCTGAAAATAGTTGACTCTGATCGTAAACAGATATACGCTGAAAAGTAGGTTTAGCCTGACCCTATAGAAACAGGATAATTGATGAAATCTCAAAAACAGGTACTTTATAAAAGCTTATATTTCAGAAGAAGATAGATTTCAGTTAGAAACCCAGCAGAATGAACTTGAAAATGAGAGTGTTGAAATAAACGACAGAATTTGTGAAGTCAACTATAAAATAAAGGAAATAAAGGAAGTCCTCAGGACAGATTACGTCGGTCGGAAGAAAACTGAGAGCTTTCTACAGAAGCAAAAGATAGATATGAAAACAGCAGAAGCCACTTCTTCAGGAGGTTGCTTTAGCTTTTTCTCGTCTTGAAAAGGACCTACTCAGGATCTCATACCAGAAGAGAATAAGGATGAAGCTCCCACCCAAGATTGCTCTGCGAGGGAGAGTAAGGAACATGAAGCCAATAAAGGCTCAATAATCTCTCAATATGAGACCGGAAGTTTCATCTCCAAGGAGTTCCAAGATGAGCCATATAATAATGGGACTACAGAGTATCAACCCAAGCAGAGTAGTAAGAAGAGAAGAAGAAAACCTCAGATTTAGGAAAAGTTGTTTTCATTTTAAAAGTTGGTAGAAGGGGTTTTGGGGTTTTGGGGTTTTGGGGTTTTGGGG